ATGATGATCTCATGTAAAATAAGTATAGGATAGATTTCTCAAAGAAGAGGAAATAGGTGGGTTATACAAAGTATGGGAAAAAAATTAGATTTGAAAATTAGATGACTTTGTGTTCAAATTAGCCATATCCACTACCTTGTGTGGGTGGAGCCTCTTTTTCATTAGGAGCTATCGAAGCTCATTTCAAATTCTTCTCGGGAACAATTCTCAATATTCGGGGGAAGGATTACCAATCCCATAGAAAAGGAATGCCTCTATTTATGTTATGCATTTAATGCCTTTGAGCTCTTGTTCGAGTTCTTCCTTGATGACCGAAAGGGGGGACAAAACTATCAAATGCCTCTTCCACCTAGAGGCTTTCTAGCATTTAATATTCCTTGGTTTCTGGAATGGGAAGCTCTTTGTTTTTTCCTAGATGAAAGATAGCTTTGGCATAAATCCAATCTCTTCTAAAAGCTATTAGACGATCATGGTTATGAAAAGCATTGACTTTAGTTCCAACCCTCTATCCATGATCAATCGCTTCACTGATGAAATTGAGTGAAGAGAGATTTTATGTATGTTATCTAGCCGCATGTCTTCTTTTTTACATTCTCCCACCAAGAAAGCCCTTTTCAGCACTCGTTCAAGGAGGGTCGAATAACAAAGTAGAATTGGAATGAAACCTGATCTCCTCACCTCGGGAACTCTATCTGGATTAGCTAAATGTCAAAGCCCTAAGTAGCTTTTGGTAGCAACCTTACTAATAAAGGAGCTACTCACCAAACATTTCTTTCAAGTTAAGGTTAGGTAGAACCGGGAGATCAAAGAAAGAATGACTTCCTCACAAAGCATAAAGAAAAGTGCGCTTGCTAGGCATATAGCCAGGAAAAAGAGAGACGGATATAAGAGAGAGTCATGTCCTCATTGAAGCCAACCCAGTTTTTCCTCTCTGGGAGTCCGAGCTTATTGAATTTCATCAAACAAAAATGGTTCTATAATGATTGTTGTGCATACTCATCACCGCTATTCAATCTGGGAATTGGGAGTAAGCAAAGTAAGGACAAGAGGAAAATAAGGCTATGAGCACTCTAATCTCATATAAAATAAGGCATGGCAACCCTTGAGTACACCCAAGGAAATCAAAGGGAGTGGGATTGCTCTTGCGTTGAAATCGGCTAATATCTTACATAAGACAAACTCAGTGGTTGGTACCCAATCGAATTCAGTCATGTCATTATCTAAGGCCCATGGGAAGGTACCCCATACGAACTCCTTAACTACATTATCAAACGGTCCTAAGTCGTTCGTCATTTTAGGAAAAAGAGTCTCTCTTTGACCTAACTCAAGAAGAAACGTCTTACGTGCTCGTTCCAGTGAGTGAAGTGCTTCACTTTATTGGAGCATGAATGCATAATAGTCTCTTTCTTTGAAAGTGAGGCTTCAGAAAGTCAATTGTGTGTGAAACAGTGTTAATAAGGGATCAATGGGCATTTCCAAATATATTACTCAAAAGAACTGACACAATACGCCTAATCGATTGGAATTGAGAAAATTTTGTCCCTATTGTTACAAACATACAATTCATGGGGAGATAAAGAAATAGATCAAACTAAGAACCTTTGTGTCACCTTTCCAAGCAAGGGGAAGAGGACTCTAATTCATGCCAATGGAAGTAGTTTCAAGGGATGAATATGCCCATCCGCCATTCTGACTTGCAGACTTGGTAAGATTGGATGTTAAAATAGACTAAGGCTTCATCTAGTTATTATTATTTCTCTCCATCTGTGTTATTTCACTCACTAATTTTTGATGGTTGCTTAGTACTACTTATGATCCTGTAGGTTAGGATTTTAGGAAAGGGGATTTATCTACATATCCATATCAGAAGTAATCTAAAAGAAAGAAGTCAAAGTCTAAGAACTGCTAGAAGAGAGACAGACAGGAAAATGACTCACTCTATAGTACTTCCTAAGGTCGGTCAAGACCAGTTGGGGACTTTCCCAAAGCTCCTTTTGATCTTAGCTCCGCAAAAAACACTGATACAAAGAAGGAGACCAGATTGGGGGAGGAGAAGAGGAAGAAAGTCAAGAGACTCATTCACAGATGAGCCCTTGCTTATACCAAAGAGACTTGTGAGATTGATACAGACACCGAGGCCAGGGGAAAAGACCTATTCTTTATCAGAATGGGAATACGAAATGGACCTATACGCTCATTTTGGACTGCCAGATAGAGACAAAAGAACAACTATAGTAGAGACAGATTCCTCATCTCCCTTGTTTTGTTGATACCCTCATGGTTTGAAAGCAATCAATTGAGTAGCTAGCGGCCCCGCACCTTTCCTTAAAGCCTCACTAGTGACTTTATTTTCCTAAATCGATCAAGTCAAGTTTCTTTTTTCCTCTTCATTTCTTGCAATAAAACACCAGGAGTTAAGTAAATCAAGAAATAGATTAATAGCTCTTGCCCTTAGATTGAAATGAAAGACAGTATGGTAAGAAAGGTATTGAGCAGCTTATGTATGGGTCACTATCGTCTTAGTTGAGACCGATGGGATACACTATTGGCCCTTGTTTATTTCGTTTATTTCAACAAAACACCCCGGATACGAGAGCACCCAAAAATTATATATGTGGAGGTCAAGAGAAAGAGAAGAAGAGGAACTCCAATATAGGGAGAATAAAGCAATTTCNGAACCTTTGTGTCACCTTTCCAAGCAAGGGGAAGAGGACTCTAATTCATGCCAATGGAAGTAGTTTCAAGGGATGAATATGCCCATCCGCCATTCTGACTTGCAGACTTGGTAAGATTGGATGTTAAAATAGACTAAGGCTTCATCTAGTTATTATTATTTCTCTCCATCTGTGTTATTTCACTCACTAATTTTTGATGGTTGCTTAGTACTACTTATGATCCTGTAGGTTAGGATTTTAGGAAAGGGGATTTATCTACATATCCATATCAGAAGTAATCTAAAAGAAAGAAGTCAAAGTCTAAGAACTGCTAGAAGAGAGACAGACAGGAAAATGACTCACTCTATAGTACTTCCTAAGGTCGGTCAAGACCAGTTGGGGACTTTCCCAAAGCTCCTTTTGATCTTAGCTCCGCAAAAAACACTGATACAAAGAAGGAGACCAGATTGGGGGAGGAGAAGAGGAAGAAAGTCAAGAGACTCATTCACAGATGAGCCCTTGCTTATACCAAAGAGACTTGTGAGATTGATACAGACACCGAGGCCAGGGGAAAAGACCTATTCTTTATCAGAATGGGAATACGAAATGGACCTATACGCTCATTTTGGACTGCCAGATAGAGACAAAAGAACAACTATAGTAGAGACAGATTCCTCATCTCCCTTGTTTTGTTGATACCCTCATGGTTTGAAAGCAATCAATTGAGTAGCTAGCGGCCCCGCACCTTTCCTTAAAGCCTCACTAGTGACTTTATTTTCCTAAATCGATCAAGTCAAGTTTCTTTTTTCCTCTTCATTTCTTGCAATAAAACACCAGGAGTTAAGTAAATCAAGAAATAGATTAATAGCTCTTGCCCTTAGATTGAAATGAAAGACAGTATGGTAAGAAAGGTATTGAGCAGCTTATGTATGGGTCACTATCGTCTTAGTTGAGACCGATGGGATACACTATTGGCCCTTGTTTATTTCGTTTATTTCAACAAAACACCCCGGATACGAGAGCACCCAAAAATTATATATGTGGAGGTCAAGAGAAAGAGAAGAAGAGGAACTCCAATATAGGGAGAATAAAGCAATTTCGCTTCTTTCATCCCAGAATTAAGGAAAAAATCCATCCATTGAGCTTACAGGAAGAAAGGAACAAGAAGAGAATAAAGGAAATCCGACTACCTTGGTCAAGTGGTCAAAAAAGGGACAACCTCTTTTTGTCACAAAAAACTCATAATGTCCATAACGAGTACGAAAAGCAACCTTAGGCACATCCTTTACATTTATCTTCAACTGGTGGTAACCCGTTCAAAGGTCAATCTTCTAGAATACTTTAGCACCTCATAGTTGGCATAACAAACCATCAATGCAGGGAAGGGGATACTTATTCTTGATGGTTACTTTGTTCAACTCCCTGTAGTCTATGTAAAGTCTCATGCTTCCATTTTTCTTTTTCAAGAACAATTCTGGCGCACCCCTTGGTGACACACTAGGCCGAATAAACCCCAAATCTAACAACTCTTGAAATTGCACCTTTAGCTCTATAAGCTCCACTGGTGCCATATGATAAGGAGCCTTAGAGTTAGGACCTATAATAGGTATCAGGTCAATAACAAACTCAATCTCCCTATCAGGTGGAAACCTAGGTGGGACATCCAAGAATACTTTTGGAAATTCCCTTACTATTGGTATCTCCTCAAGAGAAAAGCCCTTATTCCTCGTATCTATAATACTAGCAAGCCTTTATTCCTCCTATCTTTGACCTTGCACCGCAGAGACAAGGTTGGGGAAAGAAATAATCTTTGTCCCCTGGAAACTAAATTTTGTGTGATTAGAAGGATGAAATATGACTTTCTTTTCAAAATAATCAATTATCGCATGGTGCGCAACTAATCAGTCCATACCCAATATCACACAAAAACCGTAAGGTCTAAGAGTATTAAATCAACTAGTCATTTACCCCCCATAGCCCAAGCCCCGATTGCTTGCAAAAGGGAATTGAGGGCATGAGTGAGTTATTCCTATCGAGTGGGCAAAAGGTTTCTTGTATTTCACGATAGTAACTTTTTTAACCTCTCATTTCTCTGTGCTGTAAAATTTTCTTTCTTCACTTGACAAACTTCATTGCTAGTCACCCGTTGTATTTATCAACATCTATTTTATTGGGCCCTCAATTAAGCTTCTCTTGTTCATAGCAAAGTTCCCTTCTTGAAATAAGGAAACGTCCTTCTAGGGCTTTCAAAGGTAGGGATTCATAGATCTAGTGGTTATTCATCTTTTAACATTTTCTGGATTAGGTTTAAATTTCACCTCATTTGATTGCAGAGTCAAATAAGCCATGGAGACCATAGGGAAATCGAAGGAGAAGCTGGATAGTGTTGGCCTAGCGAAGAGGGGCGACACCAAGCAGGCGGTGGTGACGCCAGTCGCTCAGCGGGTAGCGCCTTGGGTGAGGGATGTAGTGTACTCGAGTGTTGTTATGGCGACGCCAGGAAATACAGGTGACGTTAGGGGTTGTTCAGGCGGCGCCCGAGGCTGGTCAGCGACGTCGGAGGCTAGACAAGGTGATTCGGGCGACGACGCCTCAGTCGTAGGAGTTACGGGTGATGCCTCGAGGTGAGGAATCGATGGAGATGGCTCCTATGAGGAAGGCGGGACCAGGGAGGATGGCGACGCTTGGGGTGAAGTCTTAGGTCTTCGTGAAGAGCAAGTGGGCGACACCACCTTGTGTGTGGAGGGTGATGCCAATACGTGCGTAAGAGGCGACGCCAGTGTGGCAGGTGGTGCTAGTGTTGCTAAGCTGTCGAGGGGTACCAAGCAATACTTAGGAGCTACTGATCCTATAGGCGAGGGCACCATCCTAGATTCCAGTGATGCCCAATTCATCTATGATGCAGAGGAGTGCAAGGGAGGTGATACCGCTGCCAGATGCGATGCCAAACTTGCTACTGTGGGCTACACCACCCCAACTACTAAGGGTGACTATAGGGTTACGGGTGTTGAGGCAAAGAGGAAGACGAAGCGCTTGATGTCTCTAGGTGGCGCCAACCACGCTCTGGGCAACTCCAATGACAAGCTAGGCGGTGCCAGTTACGCGCTAAATGGCACCAGTGGCATGCGAAGAGGCGGCCTAGGCAGATCTTCCAGTGTGGGTGACCCCCATGGACTAGGCATCAACTTTTGTGACATGTTAAGTGCAAGAGCAGGTGATCCAAGTGCTCAGGGAATAGAGACAGGCATTGAAACGCTATTTGGTGGAGTGGCTGGAGGAAAACAAGGTATCATCCTTGGATCAAGTGACTTGACCTCGTCCATGACTTTTTGTTAACCTTGCACCCTTCATTTTTTGTTGGCTTATGTTTTGCCAGGTACCCGGACTAGTAGAGGCAATACAGCTGAGGTTAGGCAGGCATCATAGCGAGGCAAAGTAGTTGCTGAATATGATGGGTCAAGGGTAATCTTAATATCTAGCTCCATAGACTATGATGAAGATATTGCCCGCCTTGTATCTTCGTTTCGTATCCCTCCCACTGTCATGTGTAGTCGAGCCGAAGAGGATGAACCGACGTGTTATGATTCCTAGGGAGAGATTGTTCATTACGAGGACGTACTGGAGGCGGGCTTAAGGTTTCAGATACGTGGGCCCATATGTTAGATCCTGGGACATCTATCACTGACTCTAGGGAGTTGACTCCCAACAGTTGAAGGGTGATCCTTGCATTATTCTCACTATGGCGACTAGGTTCACAATGCTAATGTTCCTCACCCTTTAGAGTAGTTTTTGTCTATACTAGTAGGTACACACGTGCGTTGCACGTGAACTATTTTAATTTACTGTTAAGCCGATGTTGTTAATTCATTAATTGGAATTAAAATATGAAAACCACGATTGATAGTATTCAAATAATTTAAATAGAATAAATGAATAAAATAAGACATAAGTCTATTTCTTAACCGAATGTACAAAAAAAAAGCCAAAAAATGTGGTAAATAGTTATTGTTTCACACCATTGTTGTGTGTGTCCAATTACTTCTTCATCCTTAAATTAATCAAAGAGAACTTTCATGTTTTCTTTTTAATAACTAAGTTAACTAGGGACATGTTTTGTAGATCAATTAAATGAATACATATTTTAGTCCTGGAACTTAAATAAAAATCAAATATCGTTAACATTGAAAATGTTTTGGAATATTTCTTCTAGTTTCTTGTCACTGTGATTAATCAAATGACAATATGTAACTAAAATATCTTCTTGTAAAGCACTAAAGTCTAAAGTTATTGAATTGCAATGTTCCTAATCTACTTGCTTCACCAAGAATAGTGAATGGCTACTACTTGAAATTCCTAACAAATCAATCAAATACACTTCTCTACCTGAAAAAAAAAAAAAACATAAACCCCATTAGAATTTTATTCATATGCCTCATATCCTAAATCTCTATTGCTAAATTGTATCATTCTCTACTAAGTTATGTCTTCATATACTAAAACATTTAATCTAGAAGATCTCTTAATCTAATTCACACCCACCAACCCACCCACCCACTTAAATAAATATCTACTTTACTCAACGAATGAAAAGCTGAAGCAACATCTAATTTGTGCGCACCCAAAAAATCAAATTTGGGTGATAGAAACCAAAATAATAATGAACACAAATCAAATCTAAATATCTACTTAAAACTCTAAACAAATATACATGCACTTATGCACAAGGGACTACTTGGACATTCGTTGGGAACCTTTTGAGGATGAGGAGCATAACTATTTGATAATAAGATGGCATTGTTTGTATTACTCTCATTGAGATTTTGGAGGGAGCTAGATAAGAGATGAACGTATGAGAAGTTAGTTTTTCTTTAGTGAGGACGTTTTATTTCTCTTTGCTAGATGATGGGTTGCTTTTATTTTAGGTGTATTGAAACTGGTAGAGAGTGAGATTTAGAATTCATAAGGGAAAAATCAAAGGTTTGTCAAATAGTTACAACCAATGAACTACTTACATTCTTAAAATTGTATTGACTTTACCTAATTTTTTGAGGATAAATGATGAATTCAAATGTTTTGATAGATATTGATATTTTATAATAGTATAGATATAGATATAATTTGTGTGGAAAGAAAAGTATGTGAAGAGTCATTAGGATATTTAATTGGTATTGAATAATTAAATACATAATGATAGATTTGTCTTTAATCTTTTTAATAGGGGCATAATGGTCAATCAAAAGTTTTTCACTTTTATTGATATTTTATAGTAGTATAGATACGAGCTTCTGGATAATCTTTCTTCTCATCAAGGATGGTATTGCTTTTCCCCAAGGTCGGGCAAGTTTATCACAGGACTTTCTTTAAATTGTCATAGTTGGAAGTCTAGGTTCTTCTTTGTTGGCAATGAGTGGGCTACCAGGGGAGATCGTGGCCTGGTGCCTTCGAGGACTAAGCTAGGTAAGAACTTTACTTTTTTGTCTTTACGTTTTATTGTCACGTATCCACTCTTATGGTGTGATTGTCTCCTTTGCAGCTCCACCCAGGTTATCTGCAGACTATGAGAGTAGACGCTAGGTTGTGTGGTAACATCCTTTCAAGGAGTTTTTAGAGATTATGTCTGCATTGGGTCATCCCAAAGTCCCCTCTAGGCCGAAGAGGAAAGGTATCTAATCCTCCCAATATTCTCTTAATGGTTATGNTAAATCTCTATTGCTAAATTGTATCATTCTCTACTAAGTTATGTCTTCATATACTAAAACATTTAATCTAGAAGATCTCTTAATCTAATTCACACCCACCAACCCACCCACCCACTTAAATAAATATCTACTTTACTCAACGAATGAAAAGCTGAAGCAACATCTAATTTGTGCGCACCCAAAAAATCAAATTTGGGTGATAGAAACCAAAATAATAATGAACACAAATCAAATCTAAATATCTACTTAAAACTCTAAACAAATATACATGCACTTATGCACAAGGGACTACTTGGACATTCGTTGGGAACCTTTTGAGGATGAGGAGCATAACTATTTGATAATAAGATGGCATTGTTTGTATTACTCTCATTGAGATTTTGGAGGGAGCTAGATAAGAGATGAACGTATGAGAAGTTAGTTTTTCTTTAGTGAGGACGTTTTATTTCTCTTTGCTAGATGATGGGTTGCTTTTATTTTAGGTGTATTGAAACTGGTAGAGAGTGAGATTTAGAATTCATAAGGGAAAAATCAAAGGTTTGTCAAATAGTTACAACCAATGAACTACTTACATTCTTAAAATTGTATTGACTTTACCTAATTTTTTGAGGATAAATGATGAATTCAAATGTTTTGATAGATATTGATATTTTATAATAGTATAGATATAGATATAATTTGTGTGGAAAGAAAAGTATGTGAAGAGTCATTAGGATATTTAATTGGTATTGAATAATTAAATACATAATGATAGATTTGTCTTTAATCTTTTTAATAGGGGCATAATGGTCAATCAAAAGTTTTTCACTTTTATTGATATTTTATAGTAGTATAGATACGAGCTTCTGGATAATCTTTCTTCTCATCAAGGATGGTATTGCTTTTCCCCAAGGTCGGGCAAGTTTATCACAGGACTTTCTTTAAATTGTCATAGTTGGAAGTCTAGGTTCTTCTTTGTTGGCAATGAGTGGGCTACCAGGGGAGATCGTGGCCTGGTGCCTTCGAGGACTAAGCTAGGTAAGAACTTTACTTTTTTGTCTTTACGTTTTATTGTCACGTATCCACTCTTATGGTGTGATTGTCTCCTTTGCAGCTCCACCCAGGTTATCTGCAGACTATGAGAGTAGACGCTAGGTTGTGTGGTAACATCCTTTCAAGGAGTTTTTAGAGATTATGTCTGCATTGGGTCATCCCAAAGTCCCCTCTAGGCCGAAGAGGAAAGGTATCTAATCCTCCCAATATTCTCTTAATGGTTATGAATTTGTAATCTTTCTGTCTCACACCAACTCCACAGGTACCTCTATTGATAGAGTGATGGTGGAGACTCTTTATACTTCCAGGGTGGTGTCTTTCCCTCCTTCCTCCAAGATGGCGAAGTCTGATGGCCCCAACGTGTCTTAACCGGGGTTTGGCAGCCCGGTTGGTTCTTAGGGAGTGGGACTTGGTGATGCCCCCACTCCTTCCCCTACTATGATCCCATCGCTTTGCAGAGCTAGTCCTAGTATGGTTGTAGGTATTGAGGCTCCAGTTCAGTCTTCTACAAGGACCAAGGCTCCACATAGCTACCCTAGTTCTAGTAATGGTTTGGTATCCATGCTATAGGGCGTGAATCTGGCCAAGGAGCGACTTTGGGGATTTGCGACTGTCGCGGAGATCCAAGATGTTGATTCTCAAGGTGTAGAAGGCATCATTGATACAAAGATGAAGGGTTTTGCTATGGTATGCCCTTTACTCGTCTTTGATTTTGTACCCATTCCTTTTTCCCTCATGTCCTACTTGCTTGTAGGTGGCTGCTATTTTTTCCTACTTATTTTCAAGCACGATGAAGCTTAGAGAGGCACTTAGCATTCAGGTAGTGGAGAGGCAAGCATAAAGGGCTATTGAGGAGTAGTTGGGGCTTGAGAGGCAAACGCGAGAGGCTGCCAAGGAGTAGTTAAGGCTAGCACACAAGAGAGTTGTGCCCCTTGAGATCAAGTTTTTGGCATCCTGTGAGAGGGTCGCCCAACTAGAGGCTAATAGAGAGGTTGCCTGCGCAAGAGCAGAGACAAAGCTGCGAGCATTCCATGAGAGGGTCGTTGGAGCAAAGGCTAACTACGGATAGCTCAGGAGAGGGCTGTCGTGGTGAGGCTGATCTTCGAGCAGCTCTTGAGAGAGCCATCATGACAGAGACTTACTCTATTAAGATAAAGAAGAAGAGAGATGCTATTGAGAAGGCCATGGCATACTCCTTTATCGATGGTTTTGAGGAGCTTAAGGGGAAGGTCTCAGCAACTTTTTTTTCCTATGACTTTTCTGGTTTCGTCCCCTATAAGGCATTAGGGACTGATAATGAGGAGGCGAGCAATGATGTGAGCGGATCAGGGAACAGTGAGTGACGTCAGGAGTATGGTATTTTTGTTTACATTTTTTTGTTGCTAGGCCATGTTCTATCTTTTGTAAGTGTTTTATGAACTTCTATGAAATACAACTTTTGAAAAAGACAAAGTCTTACGAAATTTTATTTCATGGTCTAAAGTAGATAACAATGAAAATTGAGTAAAACAACAAAAGATAACTTAAATGGTGACTTGTGCACCCATTGTCTTGTCCCTGACTATTGGTAATATTTCTTCAAGTGCTTTGCGTTCCATGGATAGGTCAGGACATTCCCCTCAAAGCTCTGAATTTTGTAAGAAGGAGCGAGACTTCACCCTCCAGTTGTAGTATTTGGTTATGCAACGCTTATAC